AATAAATCATTTGAGTAGATTTGTAATGGCGAGTGACTATAAGAAACCTAGGATTTCATAATTTAATAAAAGTACAAATAAGAGTAATTTGATCTGTTGAACAAGTTATTGAAGAACTAAGCGATTAGAATAATCATGCATTTATTTAAAAATGTAATTATCAGCTTATTTTCTTGTAATAAGAAAATATATGAAAGGATATCGAAAAATTTTTTCTTTACATATTCTATGTGGCAACTATCCAATACGTATATCCTTCACAAAATAATAAGTAAACAAAGGAAGAGTTACGCTGAATATAGAAAGGATATAGCAAAATTATTATTGAAAACGAATCGAATGGAGATATTATTAAAACTGCGAGCACAAAATTATGATCATTTTCCAAAATATATCTATTCAATATTAAAGCAAAAAATATCAAGAGCTTATAAAATTTGCATAAAAAAACGCAATGAAACAATAATATAGGATAACAATGGGATACAAAATTCATTAAAATTGGATTACATTGTTTCTGATTATTCGAAAGATACCATACGATGGATGATCATTAATTTTTTATCATTATTCAAATATTAGTAATTTATAATAAATTATTTATATTACTAGTTAATTATTTTCATTAATTTCTAAATTATATCTTCACTGAATAAATCGTTAATAATAATGCATTTAAAGATTTTGAAGAGCTTATATTTTGCATTACGATTTATTTAATTATAATAATGTTTATATGCATCTACAAAAATATATTTATAAAGATTAATAAAATTTTATGATTCTTACAATATTGAATATCTACAAAATTTCTATAATAACACTATAATTTAAAAAAAACATTAATGTATTTTATGAATTTTATTTGCTGTTAATGTGAAATCTCATGCACAATGTTCTTCTTATGGAACGATTTGTGTCATCACATCTTAACATTCATTAACTTCTGTTAATGAATATAGAATTATCATATCAATTTTCAATAATCTTTCATTATCAATCAAAAGCTAGACAAAAATGTGTATAATGACATTCAATATCAATAGCGAAATCTCTATCATTTTCATGATCAACTTTCATCAGAATCATAAATTTTTAATACGAATTCTACCACTCAAAATCATAACGAGAACTAATTCTAAAAGAGAAAGCTTTTATAAATAAAACATTTTAGAGATCATTATTAACTATGCTATATATTAACTATATATATATATATAGAGAATATCCTTGTTACTAATATAATGATTTGGATGCAATTCTCATAATGTTGAACTATAACTATCACGTTACCAATCACATTCACAAAACTGTGACGGTTCCATAATGTAATTTTTCACAGACATCTGATATAAATTGGACTTTTTCTTCTCTGGAGATATTTGAAAGAACGAGATATATTGTCATCGACCAATAATAAATCGAATAAACATATAATAAGAATGCTAGCTTGTGTCTATTGCAAAAGATGGATATCTTGTTTAAGATAAAAAAAATTTGATGAATTTATTAAATTATTTGTTATTTATCAAGTAATTAGCTGACCGTGGAATGAAGTGAACGATAGATATGTTGATTTGACAATGCATTGTACGTGTTTTTCGATTACGTTTTTCATCTGTAATCCGCTTAGTGTTATTTTATTACGATTTATTAAAAGTTAGTTAGTTAGAATAGAATATGAAAATGAGAATGATTAATGAATAATGAAGATTGATGCACATTTGATGAATGGCACATTTCAAGGCTCGAGTTGAATTTTTGGTGAATTACTTTAATCTATTAACTTTTAATTTATCATAGGCTGTAACTTATCATTATATTGGGTTTGAAAATGTTCATCGTTTATTTAAACGATGACTTAAACAAGTTAAACAAGTTTTATATTCGTCTTTTTCATCACATAAATTTCGCGTTATTCATTTTGAACGAATAAATTCGATTTATTCTGTCTAAATAATTTATTCTACTTAAATAATTTATTCATTGTTCATAATGAAAAAATGTTTATTGTTTGAACTTGTTTGTTTTTTCGATCAACAGTATATACCCAACACTACTGCGGTTCGATTAATCATTATGGCTTTGTTAATAATTCGTTAATAAAAAACGAAAAAAGCAGTAATGAAAATTTTTTGCAAAGAAAATTGCTTGAAATTATTTTAGGAAATTAATGGATCAGTTAATGATTGCAATTTGCAGTTGCAATTTGTAATTTTAATACATTTTAATATAAATAATCTATAGATTTATTTGTGCTTGAAAATTGTTCATTTTTCAGCATTATCAAATTTGATATTATTTTATTCGATGCCTCATAAATATTTATTTGTTTCGATAATGTACAAAAACTTAATTGTTTTAATAGAGTTTCAATTTGTTATTGTAATATCAATATATGCTCATATGGACAAATTAATAGTATCCAAATTATTATTATTATAATATATAATGTTTGTGTTTTCTATTCTATTTTAATATCATATTTTAAAATACTTTTAAGAAAAAAAAATATTTTCTTTAATTTTATTTAGATTTTCAGGATTTTAAAAGATTTCTAATAAAAGAAATTAATGTATATTTCTTTATCATATTAAATTAATGTTATTAGATAGTTAAATATTAAATATAGTTGGAAGTTAAAATATTATAACTATAATTTATTATAATTTATTATAATAAATTCATCTTTATATTTTTTACTGTAAGTTTTGCAACAATTTTTTCTAACGATATTTTTATTTATATTAAATAATCATCAATTGTTTTTACTTTATTTTATTAAAGTTTAAAATACTTGTTTTGAATTTGTTTTTTTCAATTAATTCCAACATTGATAATGCCTTGCAAAAGCTTTTTTTTTTTGCAAAGCTATAATAATCTGCATTATATTCATTTCTTTTATAGCATTTACAAAATTTATAGCAATTTTATAAATTTTATAAAATGTCTTTGCTTTGTAAAAGATTGTAAAAGAAAATTACAAAATTACAAAAATCTAAAACATCATTTTTGGAAAGATTCTAGACATCAAAATAATGAAAAAAAGTTCTTTTCTTATGATTCGATGATATATCTGATAAGGATTAGTTAATAAATTATAAGCATTTTGAATTTATGTTACATAGAATGAGATGGTAGAGCGAGTTTTCAATAATAAATGACTATACGATCAATATGTCGCTATATATACATAACAATCAATAACAAGTTTGTTGAATAAATGAATAGTTATTTATCTAAGAAGCAAAGACATTTTGTATAAAGTTAGTTATTTTATAATATGTATTTTAAGAATACAAATTATTTTAAACCACTTCTAAAACATTAATTCTCTTATTTTATCCACATAAATTCATAAATTAGCTGTTATGAGCTGAATCGTATTAAATATATGTATAATTGAGTCTTTGTAAATGTAAAAAAAAAAAAAAAAAAATAAAATAATAAAATAAGAAATAAAATATTTTGTAAGTAATTATCAAAAGAAAAGTTTTTGTATATTGATTTAACAAACAGTTTAATTTTACATTTATTTTTATGTTTATAAAATTTTTCTGTTGTTGAGTTTCTTTGATTAAATTATAATTTTTATTTCATTATTACATAAGAATTTTATTATTTTTGTTCAACATAATTTCGTTCTTTGAATATTTTATAATTTGCTTGTTATTAAAATAAAAATAGTTATAGATACACAAACTATAGATTATGTTATAATACATTATATTATATATTTGGGTTATATTATTAAACTATATATATGTATAGAAAAATTATTGATAGATATAAAATTCGAGAATATTGAAATATTGGAAGATAACAAGAAAATGTGAGCAAAATTTTGGGAAATAAAAAGGATAAAGAAATTAGAATTAACAAAGAAAAATAAATCAAAGACGGAAAAACATAACAAAGATCGGTAAAGAAGTTATACTTAATTAAGTAAGAGAGTTAAACTCAAGAGGGCAGTATTATATTTAACAGAAAAAAAAAAGAGAAATCGTAAATGAAGCAATCGCAAATAATTCTTAAAAAATTGATTTTTTAATTTATTAGAAATAATTATTAAAAAAAATTTATATATATTTATTATTTTTATAAATTAAATATATTTATTAAAAAATAAATTACTTTTAATAGTTTAATCAAAACTTAATTTCAACTTATCAATCATTAAATCATTTCTTTTTTTTTTTTCTATTTATAAATGAATTTTAATTCATTTTGTCCTTTAAATATATTATCATTGAAATTTAGTAAGCAATTTATTCAATAATTCAATATTATTTGTAATATTATTTAAATTTTTTTTCATTGCCTCTATGGTAGCATGTTTAATTTTTTACAAAAATTGATAAAAAGAATATACTTTATGTGCTAAAGTTTTTTTATTATGTTTGTAAGATAATGAAGTATTTTTTAGCATCAATTTCCAAAATTTATATTTTTTAATTTTTTTTTTTTTAACATACATCTCATTACTGATAAGATTAGCAACATGTCGTCGTTTTTGAACATAAAAATTTCATTTATAATTTTCGTCAGTCTATATTTCTTTTTATAAGAAAATTTTTTAAAAAATTTCATTGGTCTTTCTGCAGAATTTGATATCACATTGATGCTACATTTGTTGTTATTTAAAGATCCGCTGATAATAGATCTTTGAAAACAAAATCTTTTTTAAAATCAATTTCCAAATCTATTTAAAATAATATTCATACTATCGTCTACTTTTCTCCCAATGATTTTTTTTTTCGGCTTACTCTTCTAGAAATATTAGCGAATAATTAATATATTCGATACATGAATAATTTTCAACATTCTTAGTGAAACAAATAAAAATTGAATATTCACACTTGATTTATACTTATATTGCATAGAACCATCGAAAATATTTAGTTTCATTTTCTTTCCTTTCAATATCTTGATATACATATAACACATGTTCATATATTAAAAATTGAAAAGTATTGTTGTGATTTCTTATTTAGATTTTTAGAATGTTGTTCGTACTTGTATGATTACAATATTTGGAATTACTTTTGGAGTGTTTTATTTCGAAATTCACATCTTATTTATCTTTCGTTTATAAAAATTAAGCAGGCATTGACATTCATTTGACATTCGATTCTTTTCAATTTGTCATTTTTAATACATTTCAAGAGTCAATCGAATTATTTCGTAACAGAGATACAGAGTTGTCAAGAATTGATGTCTCTATCCTTATTACTTTTAATAATTACTTCTAATTCTAAGATTTTTAACATTTTCGAAGATTTAACGCTATTAAATAGATTATCCATTTATATCTCGACTTATATCTTATTTTTCTATCCATTTATCGTTTCCTAAAGAATGTTCGATACAAACTCGCTTTTGAATTTTATTTCGAACAATTGATTAATAAAATTTTATAATTATAAATGTTGATTCTTGAATTGAGAGCATTTAATAAAATATGCGAAAAAGAAAATGTAAATATTGACTCGTGTCATATCATCATTGATAAGTTAATTTTTTTTTTCAAAAGATTTGACGTTTTTATTCATAAAAACACGTGCATCGCACACTATTCATTTTCACAATTAGAATTTAAAATACATAAATGAGATAAGATAAGATATAATTATAAATGAAACTACTTATTTGAATAGATATTTATTCTTTTCCCAAATGATTATTTTAGATTATTTTCCACAAAGTTTCGCAGAAGCTCTTGATTTTTTTCGAACACAAAAAGAATCATTCTTACTTTTAGATTATGTCATAGATTAATGTCAAAATAATATTAAAATTATACATTAAAATTATACAGATCATTAAACTCATTCAAGATTCGAGACGAATCAATAGATATAAATATGACCGATACATGGATTAATCAGGATTGGTTTAAATACTATCCTCTGCTAAATACAAAGTACAAAATCAAAGGTTACTTTTTTATTAATATTTCTGAATTGTTTGATTGAAAATGTCATTGTTAAAATTGTTGAAATTGAAATTTATAGTTTATAAAATTATGATACAGTTTTATAAATGGGTTTATTGTTGATTCAATTATCATGTCTAATTGTCAAAATTTGTTTTCAAAATTTGTAATAACGTGCATTTTTTCATTATGTGTTATTTTATTGTTTATTGTTATTAATCATTTAAATAAATTTTTTCATATCGAGAAACTAAAATTGATATTCTTAATTTTATAAGCTATCTTTTATAATTATTAAATATTTAATTATTTATAATTATTATTTATTTTTTGCTGTTTGACGATATGCAGCAATTCTATCTTCCTATTATCTACGAATATTATACCTCCTTGTTCATAGCCATTGTTGAATATCTCTTTTTTTCCAACTACAATTGAAAATTCTTTTCAATCACTTTTGAAAACTTCACTTCTCGAATTTCACTGCGTTCATTTTGTCCTGCCAATTAAAAATTTTTTTTTAATTTAAAAGTCTACAATGCTACTAAAATTCTCATAAAGTCACTTATCAAACGTTTCTTTTTTACGAAAGAATTTTTTAAACCAGTTGATGGATCCAAATAAAATGAAATGTCCAGCTCGAGCTGACTTTACGATCAAATCTTTTTGAATTCTTCTTGAAAATTGATCCAAGTTTCATTCAAATAGTAGATTGACTTGGCTTTCTTCTTCAATTCGACAATTTCTTTCCTATCCTTTAAAAAGCTGTTTCACCCTCACTAAATAAATTTAAAATTGGTGTATATTTTAATAATTTATAAGATAAAATCGATATTTATAATTTCTAAAACTTTTTCTATACAATTATCCAACCGTTTTGTTTATATTTTCTCGTTTTGTTGGATCTAGTATAGTATTATTACGAATTTTAATGTATGAATATATTTCTACGTATTACTGTGCAAAATAAAAGTTCATAATCGGGACCAAATATTTTAGGAATAACGAAACCCAAGAATTATCGTGATTGATTGCAAGCGTGAGAAAACGAAAGATTATTCGTGCTTTCCTTCGTGATAATGGCTGACTTAATTTCTAAAAAAATCTTCGATTCTGAAATAAATACAAAAATCAATACAAAAATATCGATTGAAGTCTTTTTATTAAAAGTAAATTATAACTAATGAAAGTTCGTATTAAATGAAACGAGATGAAAGTAATCTTACCTCATCTCTCTTCGATATTTTAACTTATCATCCAAACATGTATCAATACTTTCCAAAGATGCCACACGAACATATTAACAATCTATAAGTGATTTATAAAAAAAATTATTTTATTTTATCAATTATAAATGTCGCAAATAGTGTTAATATATTTTATAAATTGTTATTAGTTATTTGTTTAATATATTTATTATTAATTTATGCGGCAGGTAGAAATTGGGAGTTCGCGTTAATTGCGGATTTGCAGTTAATTTGATCATGTGACCAATGTCGTGTATTCCCGCATGAACGCTACATACTGTTCATGTAACACATGTAACATTTGATGAATTTTCGAATTTCATCAAATTGTGCAGTCGTCTTTCCATGATGCGCGGATCAATCCTCATTGTCTGGAATCTCTCTCTCTCTCTCTCTCTCTGGTGGGATGTACGCTTGCAGCTTGAGTCTCCACAATAGTTAATTTTCTCAGGATCCTTGGTGGTCGATTGAGTTCACCAAAGATCCGAAAGACCAGTGCTGGTTAGTGTATCCGGCTCGAAGGACCAATGTTTGCGCCTGAAGCAACGTTAGCGTGATCCTTTACACTGCTGGTGACTATTGGAGAGCAGTGTCTCCCACAAGATTACAACTTTGGTATCGTGTCGATGGTCGAAGCACGATTCTACTCAATTAACTGATTGCCCGTCGGTTGATGATTTGATCGTGACGAGAGCTTGTTGTATTCAGAAAAACTGAAAACGTCTAGAACTCTTGCCGTAGAGAAAGATAAGGAAATTTATCATGTTTCCAAATATTAATTTTTATTCAGACATTGAAAATTCGATCATTCGAGGCAGCTATTATTTTGTCGAGAAGTGCAAAATGTTATATAAATTTTTAAAAAGTAATGATTTGCCATTAAATCTTTTGAAGGTTATTCAGAAGGATGGTTAAAATCAAAATCATGATCGAATCTCATATTTATCATCCTATTATCTCTATCTGAATTATTTATATTATATGTAGACAGGTAGAACATCCGCGTAAAAAAAATTACTTTTCATCAAAAATTCGATGTTCTATTTTTAAAAATGAATTCAAAATAATTCGAACATTGGCCAATGATTCAAATATAAATGATAACTGGATAAAATTTAAAAAAGAAAATTAGTATTGTATTTAATTACTGAATAGAATAAAAAGGAAAGTATATATTAATCAATAAATATTTAAACAGAAATAAACTATGAAAAAAATAAAACTATGATTTTTATTTCAAATATACATAATTATTTGAAAGATATTCTGACGAGTCTGATGATTTTTTAATAGTGTTAATAATTTTTTTTTCTATTTATTATTTTTTTTAATAATTTATTTATTTCTGGATTTAATGAACTAAGTCTTTTTTTTTAGCATTTTGTGTAAACTGATGAATCTGAAATAACGCAATGTTAACAGATCAAAATTAATATCTAATTTTATCATTCTGTGTTTTCTGAACCGATAAAAATTGTAAGAATAACATTTCCGTTTTAACGTGATCGCAATAATGAAATTTATAAATTTTCATTACGACATTTATTAATGTCGCAGATTTGCGCTAAGATTTCCTAAAATCCGCCCAGAAATAGTAAAGTTTAACTTTTAAGATTAATAGTTTAAAATATGAATTTTATTATTGTTGAAAAAATTGATTATTCGTTTTCGCTGTTGCAATGAGAATTATGAAAAGAGAATTAAATCGAGTCCTTTTGCAGATTGGTAAATTAAATACTTGTAAAACTAGATAAGAAAAGTCTATTTTATATAATTGGTTTATTAGAAATGATTGATTCACTCATATTTGATATTTGAAGATTGACAATGAACATCCTTAAATTAACACAAGTATGAGACTCGTGAGTATCATATTCTCCAAGTCAACAATTGAAGCAAACACTAATTTTTATGAAGTATTTTAATAATGGAGTAGAATAGAGAAGAAAAGAATTGAAATTTGCTATAAGTTTAAGATTTAAAATTAATGTTAAGCAAGTACAAATAAGACAAATTGCTTTCCATAGCTTCACAAAGTTATTGCCTTTATTCTCGGAGAATCAGAATTTCTTAAATTATAAAAAGATTTATAGAAATAAATATTTAGAAATATGAGAAAAAGGAAAATTTTGGTTTATGGCATACAAAATTGCACGTAATCCATACTATTATTTATCTCGTAACTTTTTTATAATTATTATATTATTTTTAAAAATTTTTAATCTTTTTTTTAAAAAGAAATCTTATTTTCGATTATTACTTGAATCGAAATTTGATTTTGGATTATTAACAATTAAATTCATTTTTTTTTATAATGTTTCTATATTTTCTTTATTTAAAGTCAGCTTTTTAAGAAATCTTATTTGATGAATTCGTTTTACTAAGTATGTTGCAAACCATTTGCCCATTTTCAAGATTAATAATTTATAATTTATCAGAATTACTTTTTTCATCAATTTGTAATTTTGTGAGATTTTTTGATTTTGAATTTTAGCTTTATTTCAATTTTTTAAAAAGACTTTATAAGATATAATAATTTTAAAAAACAGAAAATGGACTTTGATTCTGAACGTTAAAGAACTTAACTGGTGCAAAAGAAATTATAAACAGGAACTCGTTTATTTTTGGTAGAAATTTTTGTTTATATACGCTGTATCCTGCACTTTCATTGCAATTCAAAAATAAATTTTAATTCACCTTGTCCTTTAAATATAATCATTGAAATTAATTTTTTTTTTCATTAACTCTATGATAGCACGTTTAATTTTTTATAAAACTTGATTAAAAAAATGTACTTTATGTGCTAAAGCTTTTTTATCAAGCTTGTAAGAAAATGAGGTATTTCCACAGCATCAATTTCCAAAATTTCTTTTCTACGAATTTTTATTTTTTTTTCCCAACATATACCTCATTACTGACAAGATTAGCAGCGCGTCTTTGTTCTTGAATACAGAGTTTCTTGTACAACAAAAGTCATTTCATCCA